AGGCAGCCAATCTACAAAAAAATCTTGTCTGAAACACATAGGAGACTCATAACAGAGAACATTTAGCTGGCTAGAATCTCTACTGTGCAAGATGGATGTATTTTGTTGAGATAACGATATAAACACTTAGTGAAATGCTCCGTGATTAAAAATAACCAGCTTTAATCCATTTATGTAAACAAATTTGCATGAAAGATGCATGTTCTTTAAGAATACACTTCTTGGAAACTTGGTGTGTGCAAGTCTAGTGAATCCACCTACAGGTAAGTGGTCTTGAAGAAATGCAGAGCAGATGCCTAGTGCTCCAGCCATCAGGGGCACGCTTATCCCCACCCCCAAGGTCAAAACCACAGAAGGACAGCAGCTAGCACATGTGATAGAAGAACACAGGAGTAGGACAGAGGGGCGCCCTCTCCAGAGTCTCCTTCATCGCTTGCAAAAAAGAAGGCAGGAAGAGGACGCTGAAGAATGATCTAACACATCTGTGTGGCTGGTGGGGAAATCTGAGGTTCTAGCTCCCAGGAAGGAGCTATGGAAGGACAGGCAAGGGCATTAGTAGAAGGGGTGCCAATGTCCGTCTTCAGGATTGTCAGGAAGACTCTTAGGCTTCTGTATATGAATAATATAAATTTGCAAATTTTAATAGTGATATCTTGATTTTTACCAGATAAATGAGCTCTCCTCTCTCTGAAACCCACCCACAGCATAAGTTGTAGGTCCCAGGGTTGTTCTTCTGCCACTAGGAAAGCGTACAGGGCAGTTTTGTCCAGGAACTCATCTCTTGTTGATTCAAACAGGAGTTGGACAACACTCAATTTATAATCAGTTGATGAACAGCCCATCACTGGTCTTATGATAAAGACGAGGGGAGGGAGACACAGCAGTGCTATTTTGGTGACATTTGTGGGTAAAGTGGTGGCAGGAAGGGACACTGACTTCAATGCCCACCAGAGGGTGTAAATGGAACAATCCGTCTGCTGTCTCTTCCAATCGTGCAAGAATGCTCAGGAAGAAATAAACCAGCACTTCACTAAAGCCGGACCTTTGTAGCTATAATGCGTGTTCTCCACATCATTAAGTCTGATCTTAATTTGAATTAACCCAAGGGGTCACTTTAATAGCAGGGGGTTTGGCGTCAGCCTGCCCTGCATCGGGATCTGGCTCTTCTGTATGTGGGCTGTGAGATTCTGGGCAAGTGACTTAATTTCTCTGAGCTCTCACTTAAAATGGTAATAGGAGAAATTCTCTTGCAAGGTTGTTGCACAGGGGAAAGGTGCACAAAGCACAGCCATTAATGATGGTGGTGTGTTACTCTCATTGTTTTTAAGATGCCAAAAACAGCTCATTACTCCTTGGCACCGTCTAGGACGGGGACTGAGCAAGCCTCCAGGGCTCTGAGAGTGCAAACTGAGCTTCATTGTTGAGCCTGCCAGCTTGTTTGGCGAACTCTTGTGCCAAGTTCTTAGACTCTGTTCCTGCTAAATTCTGACTGGTGCAGTAAAATATTAACACAATGCATTAGAAATAAACTGATTTTAGAGTTTTGTGTCTCACAAATTTATGTAAGATGAGATGAAAGATCCATCATCTATAACAAATTCTATTGTTCCCAGCAGTAGATAAATCTCAATGCATAATTATATTCCTGCCTGCCATCACCATTGAAGACACGTATCTGCTTGAAAAGAAATAGAATAATTTCTTTTTACTGAAGAACATGTGAGTTTCTACTTGAAATATGTTTCTGACAAAAGGTTCCTATGGAGACACTATTTTTACGAGGGAAGGCCATCTTCAGTTTCTTTGGTATARTAACAATAATAACAACAACATACATACGTTATTATTAGTTTATAATAATGATGCTGAGGCTCAAACCCGGGGCTTCACATAGGCAAGGCAAACTCTGCAGCGCTGAGCCCCAGCCCCAGTCCCAGCAGTCTTTGGCTTAATTTTTTGAATTATTGGACAGCATCTGTCAATCACAGTTTGCTGCCTGTCTCCATGCATGCACCTCTTCTTTGTCTGAAGTCCAAACAAAATATTTTTGTCCACCTTTGTCTTCCGAGGACATGCCCAGTGCCACCGACGCTGGGTGGAAAGCAGATGCAGCTGAGGTAGGTGCTGCCCTCAGGGACGATGGTTTAGAGCAGCTCCTGCTGTGGGTTGCTGCTCTGGGAAAATCAGGATGGCGCTACCTAAGTATCCACAGGAGCCCCCTGATGCGGCGGTGACCCCGCTTGTTTCTTTAAGCTCTTCCTGAGCACCTGGCCTTGTCTAAGTGCCACGACGGAGCAGGGAGGGTAGATGAAGGGAAGGGGTGGGGAACAGGAAGTTCAGGAAGGACAAGAGATCAGGAGGGACGAGGAGAGGTGGAGGGCGGGAAGGGAGAGGAGAGGAGTTAGGAGAGAACGAGAGCGAGAACTCGGGACGTCGCCTGCTGGTGAGCCTCTGCGCTGACCCCACCGTGGCCTCACCAGATGCCAGCCAGCCCTCACCACCCTCGGGGTCCCAGAGTGAGGCTGCCAGACAGGCCTGGAGATGCTGTGTGGCTCTGTGTGCCCACGGCTGGAAACTGAAACGTCACACCTGCCCTCCCATCCTGCCCCCCGTCCTGCCCTCCCATTCTCCCCTCCCGTCCTGCCCTCCCATCCTGCCTCCCTGTTCTGCCCTCTCATCCTGCCCTCCCATCCTGCCCTCCCATCTTGCCCTCCCATCCTGCCCTCCCATCCTGCCTCCCCGTCCTGCCCTCCCATCCTGCCCTCCCATCCTGCCTCCCTGTTCTGCCCTCCTGTCCTGCCCTCCTGTTCTGCCCTCCTGTCCTGCCCTCCCATCTTGCCCCCCATCCTGCCCTCCC